GCCGATTATATCGTGCATCCCTACAGCCAGGTATTGGAGCCAAAAAATGGCATCGGAGCAACACTACTTAACAATATTTTACAAGATACAAAATCCTTATTCTGAGGATAATTTACATTTGTTGGTACAAACGATTAAATGAGAGAAAAAAATAAAAGCCTTCGCAGAAATAAATGATTAAAGTTAATACTTAATTCTGCTTGGATATAATCAATCAATCAATCTCTTTATTTAAACACAATTATGGTCCTTAAACAGACAAAAACAAGAACAGTAATAAAAAAAAGAGAAAAATATATCATAAAATAATCAATCACTGACATAAATTAAAGTGCCAATGATTCCACAAACTGGAGAAGAATCTCACTGAGCTTTGAACAGATTTGGTTATAAAATAACTGCATTTAGTGTGCCTCCCATTAGATATGTAAAAACTACTGTAACGTTACACAGGGAGCATTTTGGTATTTTTATCTTTCTATATTTTTTTAATTTAGCATCAGTGATAAAATTACATTAATAATGTCTAAAAAATGAAAATGGCAGAATTTTTTTCTCTAGCTTTAAATTGCTTCCAAAGATTATTGATGAATTAATGAATAAATAAAATTACTGTGCAGTCTACGAATAGATTAAAACAGAAAAAGTCCCTTCTTCATGCATCTAGTGTCCTGATGAAGCCCAATTTTTATAGTAAACCTAGATGAAGACTACAAGGAAATAAGTATTTTGGTGTCATCACTTTATCACCAACAAAATAGCATTAAAATATATTGTAATTAGATTCCATATTGTCGACCACCAATACTGAAGCAGGAAAACCAGGTTCTGAATGGAATAGAAATCAAAAACTTGCGTAATTTTACTGCCTAAAAGCTCTTCAATATTTCAATAACTTTGCTTCTAAAAAGCCCCAGTCTTTTAATGAAGAAAGGTGATTGTACAAATGTTTTAATAACTTTAATTTAATACAAAAACAAGTTTAATTTTATGTTTTTAATTGAGAAAGTACACCTCAGTACTTCATGTGTGTATTGAGTTTATGGAGGATCAGCCTGTGCTGCTGGCTGCTGATGGCTCAGCCAACATGTGAGAGAAGATCTCCAGCTCTAAATATCATATTCAGAATTTAAACTTTTGAAAGTTCTTTAAATCTGAAAT